TAGCTTCATAATTGTAGCCTAACTTGATCAAATGTGCTATGAAGCCATGTCACTCTCAAAGTACAAATAAAAGATTTGTGTTGAATATTTGATTTGGAATGTCTGCTTTTTTAAATGTTGATACATGTAGTCATAATTATCTTTGTGTGCTTCCTAATTGAGTTTGCATGTTTGACAGTATTTTTGTCACAGTTACAAGTCAATTATATGTTAAAAATGTGATCAATAGATTAGTTCAAAAATTCGTATTATAAATGCTCCTTAGGGACTTGAAAAGAGTAAACAAGAACATAACACATTCATGTAGAATTTTTACAAAATTCAAAGATGTTTTAACAATAAAACTAGTCCACTATTGGTATTCTTCCATTTCAATTCCCAGTTTCATCCTCTTTGCTGCCCAAGGTTTTTGTTTGTGTTGGCACAGCAGCACTTTATTTGGTTTCAGTGTTTAGAGGTTATTAGGGAACACACCCTCTTTATGCACATGAGCTTAACAATTATGTGCAATCCAAAGAAAACAGGATGACTTCTTTTGTGTTGTAATTATTGTAAAGCGCCCTCGATATGAGTCATAGCAGAAGTGCTGACAAAAGGTGCCAAGAGGAGTTGTCTGAGCCTGCCCCGTGGAGATTGTTTTAGTATTATTTACTTATACACTCTACTTTGCTTGTACAGTATGGCCTACATAGTATGGCTCCTGTGAGTGATAAATCACATACGGCACACCAAAATACTAACCGGAGTGGGAATTGAAACCTTGTTATTGTAATCATCTGAATCCTTTGCTGGCTGACAGAAACATTCATCTAGACCCAGTTTAAAAAAAAAGTGCCGTACAGGATGTACTGGGCAAACCTGTTCTCAAAACTCTATTCCCTAAACGTGCGTTAAAACAAATCATGTCTTAAAATACCAGAGGTAAAAATAAATAAACATTAGACTTGATTTTGAATTGTTTTTCGAGATGTTATCCTCTTCTTGTTCTGACCAGATGTACTGTACTCTGTGTACAAGCTACTGTATATCATCTATAATTTTAAATATCTTCCCTAATACCAAGATTAGGTTTCTGAATGCCAGAGAATGCGAGCGCTCAGATGTCGAAGTGACATGGAAACCGCATACCATCCATCTCAGTCATAGATAGCAACTAGCTCCATACCAGTGTGTTACATACAAAATGCAACTTTATTAACCTTCATGCCTCCATTCATATTAATATACATGTATATGTTTGAACTTATTTTAATTTCACAGCTCCATCCATATGAAAAATACAGAGAAAAAGGCAAAACACTGACTGGATACTTAAACAACTCTTGGAGAAAAGAAAATCGTAACAGAAAAAAAAGGACACCTGTTCTTGAATTTTTGAAAAATATCAGGATTAAAAATGTCTTTTACATTTGTGGAATTCCATGAGCAGAATCTCCCTTTTTAAGCGATGCTGAGCAATATCACAATTTTTTTTTGTTTTTCACGGTAAGAATGAAAAGATCTGAATATATTTACACTACACTCACTTTACATAAATACAGGAACAACGATTACTGTACGTAATATCAGCAAACTTGAAAGATAGGCATTGGCTTCACTACTTACATTTTTAAAACCAAGAAATCAAAAGCAGATGTTACACAGAAAGTAAAATAGATATTGAACTGATAGAGACGTGTAAGATCAGTATTCATTAACAAAGGCGTTGCGTTACAGCCCTCATCCAGCCACAAGACTCCTCATTATCCTCCATGATGAATTCAAGGGATGAAACATAGAGGCCTTTGTAACTCCGTTTTCCCCCGTAGAGGAAGTGACTTATTGCAAGCAAAGTAATAACGTGAGCTATAAACAGCCTGTGAAAGTGTTATGGGAAGATGCTGCATTTGACACAATGGCATAAGGCTCAGTGCGAAAAATAAACGTTAAAGGTCCGACTTGCATAATGTTGTCTGTGCTTTTTGTTTTTAAAAATGTATGGTTTCCCATTAGATAGTTATTAATTTGAGCACGCATGTTAAAATCCAAACTCTGCCCAGAGCGTTTGATATTACAAGTTTGCAATATGAGGCACTATTCATTATTATTGCATAACTTTGACCCTGGTAACCGTTACAAAATTATGCTTTAAAATGAGGAAAGAGATGCTGAAGGGAAATATAACACACCCTGTCCTGTGGAGACACCGTGTTCAAGTCTAATTTAATCGAGAAAAAAACTGGTGTTTTAAGGCAATCGTCGTCATACACTGAATACGAGACGTGTTGATATGTGCTTGATCATAGAATTTCTTGTCCGGGTATAGCAAAATAGCAACATAGGGAATCGAGTACCTTATTACGTTCAATGTATATAAATAATTTGTTGTTTAAAAGCAAACACTGGTTCAGCCTTGGGAATAAAAATGATTTGATCATGAACTTATTAAACCGCAAACCAAAGAAAGCAAACTGTTCTATAACATCACATATGATCATTTACACGATGGATACAATAAGCCCCATTTCACTGTATATCAAATTAGATAAATTACAGTCTCTGAAAAAAAGACTTTACATGTATAAATGTATCTCCTGCATCTACTAATCAAAAGCCCTATTCTTCCAATGTATATACAGGCTGTAGAACTTTGTAATAAGTGTTATCTTCACTATCACATATATTACAACATTTCAAAAGATCCTTTTTACAGAAGAAAAAGAGTTATATGCAAAGATGAAGTGCCCCTCGACAATAAAATGTTTCTTATACATTATATGGAGGATAAAATATGATGATGACTATTTGTTTATAAATTGACATCTGAAATAAAATAATTTGAAAATCATACTATTAAAACAAACAAGGTGCTGATATGCTTTTTTGCCAACATGATAATACGACTGGGCATAATGACATGTGCGCAAATAATATATATAAATAATGATAACTTACATTACCATTCTTCGTTACATCAGACGGGGTCACACACATTTGGTGCATGTGTGGAAATGACTTCCTGGATTTGGCTACTTCACTGAAGGTGAGGATGTTCAATGCAAAGTGTGTGTTTAAATGTGTGTGTGTGTGTTTTCAAGGTGCTATTATCAGAAGGGTTGCCATTTCTTTTTACTGGCTTTGGTCCAATGAATGCATTTAGCAGCACTATCAAATATTATGGGATGGCCTGATGCTTTTAGTTTATGTCTGCAGGTCGTACACAGCATTAAGAGAATTGGACATACTTGCAGAAATATCTGTTATTATGACTATAAAAAAAACTCTTTAATTTAATGTCCTGATTAAAGTTAAGTGATGTTCTCGAAGAGAGAACTTAGTACTGCCAGTAACCGCATCTCAAATGTAGAAGTACTTTACAAGCATATTGTATTTATGTTTTTAAGTATGCATGTGAATTCCCCCCATTTTTCAGGATTTGTTATAGCCAAATCTCAGGTAAATCAGATAACATATATCTGGTCTGAGGTGAGAACATTTCAAGTGATTTTCTGTATTCGAGACAAACAAAAATGATTGGGAGTAACTCACTAACGTAGACACGTCAGATTAGAGCCTTGTGCTGGAGCTAGGGACCAATCAAACGGAGGGAGTCGTGGTACAGAGAGGAGAGTTGGCCCAGTTAGAAACTTCTCCTCCGATATTGACATCAGCAAAAAGAACAAAGAGGAGGTCGGCGTTCCTTCTCATCACTTTGTTCAGTAATGTATTGCTCATCTGTATTGTACACTAGGTAGCACACTATCCCTGTAACACTGCTCCTGTGTCAGTTTCAGCTTATGGTCAAGTGCCGCTGTGCAAAAACCACAACGCAAGTTCCTTTCACCGTCAAACCCAGCTGAGAAAACAGAGCTGAATAATAAAAAACAAGATCAATCGGGACAGAATGAAAGCGTGAGTCTGTAAGGTGCCTCCGTTTTTTTTTTTTTTTTTCACATACTGGAAATCTCCTCTGATTGTTTCAAGTTCACTGTACATGAGGGGTTGTATTATTCTGAGTCAAACATAAGCAATAAGCAGGCATACAAAAAAAAGAAGTAAGATTCAATAAACAAAAAGTTGTCATACTAAAAGTGTATTTATCCTTAAAGATTGCACTTTACTGATTGCTAATCACAGCACAAATTCCACCAAAGATTTTTTTTTTTTAAGAAATGCTTTCAAGAGGCTCAACATAAAGAGTAGCACTGATGAGATTTGGGGTGGTCCGGCCCTGTGAGCGGGTCATAAACGGTGTGTTTCTTTGCTGGTGTGATGACATGAGTGTCCAGTTATTACTGTTTCGAATTAAGTCATTCAAAATCTATGAATGTAGATGTGTTGATGAGGTTGATCCATTCAGATTGTGGCTTTTGAAGTCATTTACTGTTAGCTGGCAATGAGACAGGTGAAAGTCCAGCCCTCTTTTAGCTTCCATATAGAAAGCCTCAGATAAAACAGCTCCAGCAAGCGAAGAAAAAAACATCCGTGATGAAAGGACGCCCTCTGCTGGTCACAAATCTGACTCACAGGGAGGCAACGGTGCAACAATACTGCCTGTAACTCCAACTAGGCCCAAGTCCTTTCCTGGGATCCGGTCCAGGCCTGACTCCTTTCTGCTCGCACAGGAAATCCACTCCAAACAATGGGGTCTTTCACATTATGAACGCTGGAAAAGCAGCTGTTTGAAGAATAATGAAAGGAAAGATACGAAAAAGAGACCACCGCAATTGCATTATATATTTTTTCCGTCCAAATAAAGAGTGCGAGTTCTTCTTTAAAAATCAAAGTGAGACATTTACAAACAGTGCTGTAAAAGACAGTTCCCTATTATACTCCAAAGAACAACAATAACAGGTCTGCCGTCTTTTCCTTCCAACCCGGAGAGGATCCAGAAGTGACCCTGTTTTGTGCTCCACAAGCTCTGTGCTTCTTCTTCTTCTTCTTCTCTCCTCATGACGGATGAGAGTGTGTGTGTGTGTGTGTGTGTGTGTGTGTGTGTGTGTGTGTGTGTGTGTGTGTGTGTGTGTGTGTGTGTGTGTGTGTGTGTGGGTGTGTGTGTGTGTGTGTGTGTATGTGTACATGTGTGTGTCCAGGCCAGCTGTAAAACATTCATAGGGAGATCCCGCTCCCCCGGCTGCCTGTTTGTGTGTGCCTGTCCCATTGATCTCTTTTCTCTCTCTTTCCATTCCTCCTTATCTCTCTCCGTCTGATTCACACCAGCATGTGTCTCCGCCGGTGCAGGGCCAAGTGGTCGGATCTTGAGAAGCTGCGGTCACAGTCTGCGCACTTAAAGGGCTTCACCCCTGTGTGTTTTCTGTAATGCCTCGTCAGCTCATCAGAGCGGGCAAACTTCCACGTGCAGCCGTCCCAGGTGCATTTGTATGGCTTTTCCCCTGCAGAGGAACACAGAGAACCGTCAGAAGCTTGTACACCTCATGTTCAGTATGTTACTCAGTAGGAAGCACACTTTGGCCTTGACGCTTTATTTATAATGATAATGTCTTCCATCATTTAGAAACTTTCTATAGCTAAAAGCCAAAACAGTATAAGGTATTGTATGATCAGAACATTTTCAAAGCTCAAATATCACAATTGCTCGCAGCAAATCTATTGCTCATAAAAGCCTTATTCATATTTTGTCTTATTGTCACTTTTATTTTGTTTAGGTGAACCACAGCTGTGTTTCTGAAGATATTTGTTCCCTGGCCCCCAAGCTTTTCAGTTGGTAGCTAAAACTCCTTTCTTTAAAGTCATCTAAGTACATGACAATAACTTGATATTCATTTCCACATTCAGTCTGGCCCATGGCATTTGCTCACACCAACAATCATTTAAATGTTATCATTACTGCTGACAAAGTGAGCAAAATACATGATGAACAAAATCAGAGCACTGACCTGTATGCGTCCTCCGGTGTGCTTTTAAGTGGGAGCTTTTGGTGTACACCTTATTGCAGCCCTCAAAGTCACATCTGTGAATTCTTCTCTTTTTGGAATCTGGTGACTCTGACCTCCGGGGGCGTCGTATGCTTTCAATACTGAACGGGGACATGGAACTGCAACGGGAGAATAAGAATAAACATTAAAGCATTATTACACTGTAACAATAGCATTAGCACTTTCATACTAACATACTAAGCAGTATGTAGTGTATTCATACTTAAAAAGAGACACATAAAGCATACTCAAACAAACATATTCACATACACTGTTCAGCTCTATGTACATTGCAAAGGTTGAAAAAGTGCAGTTTCATTAACTGATCATTTACTTACATGAACTTCCCTTCCCCCAAACACCAGAGTTTGGAAGTAACTAAGAAAATATACTCAAGTACTCTACTCAAGTAACATTTTAAAGATACTTGTTCTTTACTCGAGTATTTCCATTTTATGCTACTTTGTACTTCATCTTCATTGCAATTCAAAGGTAAATCATGTACTTGTACTTATTTTCTACCTTAGGTTACTTTTACAGATTTGGATTAATGATATGAAATATAATCGAGACTTAAATTAGACTTAAGTTACACCTGGAGTAACATTCAAAAACGACCCTTGCAGTATACAAAGTAATTCAAACTAGATGCACTTTAATGCATCAATACTTACAAAATATATACATTATTCTGAAATGAACCAATTTGCATAACGATTACTTTTACTTTTGGTGCTAATACTTTTGTACTTTTACTTGAATAACATTTAAACAGAGTATTTCTAGACTCTGGTACTCCTACTTTCACTCAAGTACAAGATCTGAGTACTTCTCCCATCCCTGCCAAACACTAACAGTAGGTACTAACTGCAGTAAACAGCAAGGATGTATTCATGGTCAAAATAACCCTGAGAAGAAGTGGAGCAGTATCTTTGCCAGCAGGTGGCAGTGCAGCACTGCTCCACGGTAAACAGAGGAAGCAGATGAGGTAAGAAGGATGGTATTCGTATTGCCCGAACACTTCCATCAATCATAGGTGGAGGGATAACGGAGTTTTATCTCAATGTTGTTCAGCGAGGTTAATGACTCCTGAGTTATATCCGCCATCAATACATTTAGGCATGACAATTCCTCTCCATTAACTAGTCAATATCACTGTTGATTATATCATGTGTCACTTTGGAATGTGTGTGTGTGCTTTTGCATGCAATACTTATACATGTAAGTGTTTTGCAGTCTCATTGGTGTGGCAAATGTTTAGTGTGTGCCCGTAACACTTCTCTAAATCACACACAGACATCCAGGAAGATGAAACAGAAGCTAGGGTTGTGGTAGATGGTCAGTAGTTCATGTCTCATGTTCATCAATGAGCATCTTTTACATGGGTACAAACTCATGACTACTGCACGCACACACACAACAAATAGGCAGGAAAGACACAAGAACATCTCTGCTTACTGGAAGGGAGGAGTAATATATGCGGGATATATCTAACGGGGGGGCTCTGTCAGCAGTGATGGAGCACAGTTGCTTTTCTTCCAGGTCTCAGAGACTCTGCTGTGAATATTGAGAAACGGATAAGAGGGTGAAGAGGAGGAAGAGGAAGGAGTGAGCGTACGAAAAGGAAAAGCTTGGGCCGTGTCAGATTTGAGAGGAGCAGGGTCTGCCAGACAGGCCTGCAGTGAACTGTCTCCACCACACATAACCCACTTCCTGTCTCTCAGTGTTTCACCGAAGCAACATTCGTCAAATGCAGACTCAGATATAGACGCATGCACTCATGATACACACACGCTAGGCAAATACACAAAACGACAGAAAAACACATACATGCAGATCACCCGTTGCTCTTGGCTTACTGCCAAACTGAAGCTGTACAGGAAATGAGCACACGGGTCAGATATGAAGTGGACTCTCTCCCCTATTGCTTCAACCCCCGCCCCCCTCACTGTGTCTGAGTTCAGAAAATATCTCACTGAACACACAAGAAAGTATATCCATAAAGTTTAAAGTATACAGTTTTAATTAGAAATGATTGATGAGAGTACCGGGCCATCCACTAATCCAGTGGTTCTCAAACTTTTTCTGTCAGGCCCCCCCTTTGCCACACACACACACACACACACACACACACACACACACACACACACACACACACACACACACACACANGGTCGGGGGGATTGGAGTTGACAACCCTGAGGGGATTGAAGCTGTTTGCCTTGTGTGCTTTTTTTTTTTTTCCACCCGCCCTCATGTGCAGCTGTTATATCGTCCTCCCTCCTTTTACCAGCTGCCAGAGAGACACACACATAGAAAGACACAGAGAGAGAGAGAGAAAGGGAAAGAGAGCTTCGGTGAGAGGGAAGGGTAGGGTAGGAGGAGGAGGAGGCGGGGGGGGGAGTAAACACAACTACTCAACACCTGCTGCCCCGGTGAGGAGAAAAGGTGTGTGCAGGAGAGAAGGGAGAGGCGGGAAACAGAGATAGGTGGTTAGGGAGAGGCGACATGAGTACAAAAGCCTGAGATTGTGTTAATGTGGGAGTGAGGATTGTGAAAACCCAAAGATTAAAGGAGAGACAGGTGGGGGGATATGCAGGTAGGCTACAGTATCACACTCTAAACCTTTGGTATTCTAAGTGCTCCCTCATCCGCACAGTCTGGTTATCTTCCCTGGTAATCTTGGAAAAATATAGATGAATATCTTGTTCCAAAAGCGGCAGTCTCGTTGCTCCAGATGTTTACGTGCTTTGATCAACATTGTTTTGGGGTTGAGGCCCGGTGTGTTTGTCTGAGATCTCGGAGAGAGGAAACTTTTCCTCAGCAACGCTAATTATTTTTCCATCACCACCCCGTCACCAGTGAGAACTCCACATCACATCCACATTGCCTCACTGGCAGCAAATGGAGCACGTAACACCAGGAAAGGACAAAGCTGTTGTGACTGTGTTTGCACAATTAATGTTTGCGAGATAGCTTTCTTTCTTCATCAAAATGTACTTGTGAATTGAACAAATACTGTCGCATGATACCATTCAGACATCAGCGATAGGATCAGCAATGAAAGTATGTGTATGCCATGGTATTGACTCCTGTCCAAAATATGCATATGATTTTAAATCAAATGAAGGAAAGCAATCTTTTTAATCAGCCATTTTCTCTGTATCGGAGAAGTGCAGAGTTCCCCTCGGTTCCGTTTGGGACCGAATTGTCAATTGGCTGACATTATCTAAACAAGAAATATTAAAACTAATTAAAGAAATGTCTCTGTAAAATCTTGATAAGGCTGAGGTTATTTTTTTTTTTCTGTCTCTCTCTCTCTCTCTCTCTCTCTCTCTCTCTCTCTCTCTGACTGCTGTTAGGAGACTTGCCACAGGCTTGTCTGAGCAGAGGAAGTTATGAAACTCCTGCTGCCGTATCATTTGCACAAGGAAGTTTCAGCCTGTTCCTCTGGCTCTGTTGACTGGAGTCCATAAAACAGCTTTATTAAAAATGACACCATTCCACTCTGTATTTGCTCAGTGGCTGCTCATCTAGATTAGGTCACATGTTGCTGTGTAGTGTCGCCAACAATAGCCGGAGTTTATGACAGATAGCAGCTGTCTGGGCCGACTGTGTTGTGATAACATACTGCATACTGTACATCTCTAAATCTGCTGCTTTCTCATCGAGATAATCTGCTTCTGTTTTCAACAGAAAAGTGTCTCGACCACAATTCAAAAGCAAGTCAGCGCTGTTCCAATTTCCTGTAACCAACTGCACATGATAGTAAATCATCAAGTCGAAATGACACGGCGAACGCTGTACCAACTCTGGTGAATTTGTGGCTTTTTCTTGCAGAATTGATGTAACACTGTTACTTCGTATTGCCCAAGTTCAATTGTTGAGTTAAATACCTAAATGAGGAAATCGCCTCATGTTTCTCAACTGACAACAAGTGTTATCTTGATCAAAGGCCTTAAATCAGCACAATCCAGGTACCACAAAGCAAGTTCAGTTTCATTGTATGTTTATGTGCTTGTGTGTGCATGCCCATGGACGTATATCATAACACCACAGAGAGAACACAGAAAGGGGGGGGGGGGGGGGGGTGAGCATTCAGAATTATGTTATGGCTGCCTCCTGTTTAGCTTTTCCCAGAGCCCCAGGCGACTGGAAGGCATCAAGGACACCTGGGTGCGACTTTATTAAAGTATGAAATGAGAGGTCAGTGACGCGGCGGCCCCACACATGACATCCTGCTGCTGGCCCTTTTTTTCCCTGCCTCCTCCCCTCAGCCCAGAGCTCTGATGACTCCTCTATGAAAGTCTGTTTCATTAATCCCCCTGAGGGACCCCTCAACTGCTCTTTCCGCCGCTGATACAAATTTAATTCCTGATAGGTCTGTTAGATGGAAGCCGCGTCTATCAAGGCTTTTAATTAATGTGGCACTACTCTCGGTGTATCACAATGTTTATCTGAAATTCATGACCAGGGCGACGACGGACGGGATTGTTCAAAGATGGCTTGTTTTCCCTTTTTGGTTTGAAATGTGAATTTTAATTAGACACGGTTGTTACTCTGAGGGCTTGTAAAAGGGGGCTCTGTGCTTGTTACAAGGAGGCATGTGTGTGCATTGTGTGTGTGCGTGAGGTAAATGTGCGCTTTATCTGTTCACTTACTGTCACACCTTTCAAATGTGTTTATTTTTGCTTTATTAATGCCCCAGTATTTTGTAGGAAAACAATATAGTGAAAAGGTTCAGGAAGCTACCTACAAAAGTGCAATTGACTAAATTCTTTGGGCTTCACTGTAAATCCACAGCCTGACAATGGGCTGGCCCGACAACTGTTTGTATTGGCAGGTTATTTCCAGCCTAATAGCTGTACAGTATCATTGTCAGCCTCTTATCGTGGCAGGCACAGCCCTTTCTGACACGCTGACACCTCAATGGTGTGTGTGAGCATATCTTTGTGTGTGTTTGCACACTTGTTTGCATGCATTCATCTCTGTCTGCAAATCATTTTGAATGAGTTTTATATATATATCCTCTGTCAAGATCTGTTTGTCTAAGAATGAATATTTTCTGCTCTCGTTAGCAGGCTTGCCCTTAAGTGTCACAGATAAAGGCGAGATCATG